TTTTTTTTTTTAATTTTTTTTTTAACGTTTATTTATTTTTGAGACAGAGAGAGACAGAGCATGAACGGGGGAGGGGCAGAGAGAGAGGGAGACACAGAATCGGAAGCAGGCTCCAGGCTCTGAGCCATCAGCCCAGAGCCCGACGCGGGGCTCGAACTCACGGACCGCGAGATCGTGACCCGGGCTGAAGTCGAACCCTTAACTGACTGAGCCACCCAGGCGCCCCTATTTAACTCTTTTTAGGAAGCATATTTAGGTACGAGTACATTGACCTGCCTGTCATGCAGTTCATTCAGCTCTCAAGAGTATTGAAAACAGTCTGCTCGCGTGGGGCTGTTTTTATCCCCATGCCGTTTGAAACACAAATTCTTTTGCCTATTTATTAATCAGTTGTTGGCTGAGAGTTACTGGGAGGTTATCTGACTGACTTCAATGATCAGTGTTCGGGATGATCACCTCCTTGACTCAATTTATGTGCTCGCTTTTACAAACCAATTCATGTGAATAAATAGGGACAAAGGCAGTGCAAGAAGCTAAAGAAATCTTGGGAAGTCAGAATCTTTGGAAGAGTTTTGTTCTCAGTTAAAACTGAAAAACTGCTAAACTGCTGGTTTGGGGACTGACACTGTGAACTTGAGCTTCAGGACTATTTATGAAACAGAATGCTTTCCAAAATTGAGATCTTTATTCCCACTCATTTGTTTCTGGCAGATGAAAGACCAACGTCAGCTTTATTCACCTCTTTCTTTCTGCCTTTGATAAAGCCAACTCATCTCACATGTGACGAATGATAGTGGTGGGGGGGGGGCGCCTGGGTGGCTCAGTCAGTTAAGCGTCTGACTTCGGCTCAGGTCATGATCTCATGGTTCTTGAGTTCGAGCCCTGTGTCGGGCACTGTGCTGACAGCTCAGAGCCTGGTGCCTGCTTTGGGTTCTGTGTCTCCCTCTCTCTCTGCCCCTGCCCCACTCGCACTCTGTCTCTCTCCAAAATAAATAAACACTAAAAATTAATTTTAAAAAATTAAAAAAAAAAAAGGATGATGGTGGAAGTAAATAAGCCCGTGGTCATTTGTCTCCAGCACTGTGACCAGATATGCAAGCTCTGAAACCACATCAGGGTTCAAACACAAGCTAGTCTGCTTATAAGCTTTGTGACCTTGGACAAAATTCTTAACCACTTTGTGCCTCTGTTTCCCCATTTTTAACTTTTTAAAATTTGTATTTATTTATTCATTTTAGAGGGAGAGAGAGCGCACATGCCAGGGAGAGAGGCAGAGGGAGAGAGAGAGAGAATCTTAGGTAGGATAGATGCTCAGCATGGAGCCTGACGTGGGGCTTGATCCCACGACCTTGGCATCGTTACCTGAGCCGAAATCAGGAGTTGGATGCTCAACCGACTGACTCACCCATGTGCCCCTGTTTCCTCATGTTAAAAATGAGGGTTTCACTAGAACCCATTTCATAGGGTCATCGTGTAGTAGAAGACTTGGTGACATTCCTTCTGGCCTGATAATAGTGTCTGGCCTGCAGCGGAAGCTCAGTAAATGGCAGCCATTATTATTACTATTACTACTACTATTATTATTTATTATTATTTTTCAACAGCAAAACAAGAGACAGAAGTGCTACGACGTGAGGGGCTGCGACTAAGCCTTTCGGGGCGGGGCGGGGGTGGGTAATTAGGTAATATGGAAAGTGAAGCATAGGCTAAGGGTCACGTGAGCTTCCTCACGTGGAAGCCGTTGAGAGGAAGTCTTTTGTGTGAGAGCAGAGATTAAATACTTCCAGAAAGTAAGACGATGTGCCATATCCCTTTCCTTTCCTCTCTGCCATTTGCTTTACAGCGAGGACCAAACTTTAGAATCAGCGGTTGTCAAAGTCATTAATCCGGTGGAGCAGAGCGATGGCGGCCTTGAGTTCCGAGAGTCTTCCTCTTCCCTTGTGGTGAAAGAGATTCTCCGGGAGGCTCCTGAGCTCATCACCGAGCAGCTGGCTCATCTCCTCAGAGGTGAGAGATGGCTCTTTCTATTAAATACTGGAGGGCTTAATGGAGTGTTTCTCGACTTGCTCATGCAGAATGAGTGTGATCCATTCTTGGCTTAACAACCCCTTTAAAGACCGCGGGAAGCTTCATCAGGGAAGCGGGGAGTAAAGAGTTTGTTAAAGAGTAGCATTACACTGAATATTAACAATGTGCGTTTAAAAATAGGCATGAAGGGTCTTTGCTGTTTCACTATTCACCGGAACTGCCTCACCTCTGTTGGGGAGCCAGAATGGCTCCTCTGGCCGTCCAGAGCTTCCAGAGGCGGTTCTGGTCCCACAGCAGTGTGACTCAGGCCAGAATCCACTCCTCACATCGAAATATCTCCTAGTACTGATAGAAGCTTGGTTTGCAGAACACTGCTTGGATGACAAAATAAACACGTTTGAATTTGGTGATTTTGTGTCAGGACTTTTACAGTCACTTTACCACCTCATTGACATTGTAATATTTTCCGTCTTAACTTCGCCTCCTTTAAACACTGTGTTCCCAGCACACCATAGTCAATGACCTTTTTTAATCTTTCTTTTTTTAAAAAAAATGTTTTTTAATGTTTTTATTTATTTTTGAAGGAGAGA